AAAAAAAAAAAAAAAAAAAAATTTAAAAAAAAAAAAAAAAAGAAAAGTCTTAGTAGACTACCAGGCATCTGGTGTGAGGATCTGCATAGGGAATCACCTCTCTCCACCTGACTAGGGATTTTGCCTAGGGGAAACTCCTTCAATTGTGTTCAGCTGGAACTGGGAAAATGAGAACTAGCCAGACATCGCTTTCTTTATATATGAATATCTTGGAGTGTCTGTCTCCAGATAGGCTAGATTGAATTTCCTCACACCAGGGTGGCCTCAGAGAAGTCATTCCACTGGCACTGCAGTTCAGAGCTCCAATTCAATTGTTCCAGGTTCAAGACAGACGCTACATCACCTTTTACAACCTAGCTTTAGAAGACACTCAGTGCTTCTACGAGTAAGTCACAAGCCTACTCATCTTCAAGGGGCTGTTAATTACATGTATTGTCTTTAAGTAGAATTGGCAAGATTCTAGATGATATGGGTGAAAATAGAACTAGTATGGCAGCCATTTTGAGGAAAGGTAATATGATATGTGTGAGAGGGAAGTCCTTTTATTCCAGGTAAAAGCATTTGTAATATCGTTCATGGAGTGACTCTGCAAGTTTCCAAACTGTCATGAATTATAAAAGAAAGTCATGATTCTCCTACTCTGATTATTTTAACAGAAGTAACAGATAACCACTTTAAAAAGTACTTTTATGGAATGTTAAGACCTTTTCATTTAATGGCATGATTACTTTATATTTTAAAAGATCACACTCACTAAGTGAGAGTTGTGATTGAATATGATTTCTTTGTGAATATCATTGCTAGGAAAGAAGAGAAAGAAGAAGAGAGAGTAGGAAAGACATAGGTAAGTGATTGCTATTTTCATTATAATATGAAATCAGGACTGTACAGGGGGTGGTGACTAGGTGTCAGAGAGACCTGAGTACTACTCAGTAATCTACCACTTATTATTTTTTTTTTTTTTAAAGATTTATTTATTTGTAGATACAGAACTGGGGTACAGGCCAGAGGCTCAGGGGCGGTGAGAGGCTTCACCAGAGACAGAGTGGGGAGCAGAACAGGCAGATCAACGAAGTACACTGCTGAGGGGAGCAGCGGGCGAGACAGGAGAGGTCTGCCACGCCATGTGGTCTCCTCCGGGGCAGGCGGGATTTGAACTCATGCGGAAGTGGCTTCAGCTTCTCAGTGCAGTGCTTTAACCCGCTGCGCCACCAGGGAGGGCCTAATCTACCACTTATTAATCAAACAACTTGAAGATAGTAATTACCTTTTATAAACCTTAGTTTTCCATCATTAACATGCTGCTACCTTCCTTACAGTGTTACCCTAAAGACTAGACATAATGGGATTGAAATGACTGATACTTGGTAAATGCCTAAGAAATTGGAAAGAGGATTAACATAAAACTACCTAAGTGAAAAATAAAACCCGTGCTTCAAATACTAACATAATTGGTAATGTTAGGTCAAACAATCAGTCTAATTGAGGGAGTTTTTCCTATTTTGCAACCACCTTTTTTGCTCTAGACGATATATCTTTTGGTGATTAAGCCTGGATTAAGCTGATTCTTAGCTCCAAACAAATGACTTCAAAACATTCAACAGTCTGAAAAGAAATCCTTGTACTAGAGTATGTGTACCTGCTTCAACTGGAGCCAGCAAAAACAGGAAGAGAGAGAGTTTATAGTATCTGG